CATGATGCACACCTTTTTCAATTTTTAAACCATGTAGTATTCTTCCCTTGTTCTGGTCACACAACTGCCGGTTGGTCCATGTACAGGTTGCACATGAGCACAAAGAAGTGTTCTGGAATTCCCATCTTTCTCAATGTTATCCACAGTTTGTTATGATCCACACGGATGAATACATTTACATTGTCAATAATATACAAGTAACTATTTGTCTGGTACTCTCTGCTTTCAGCCAAGATCTGTCTGACATCAGAAAGGACATCCTCTTCTGACTCCAGCTTGAATTTCTAGCAGCTTCCAGGTGATGTAGTACTGAAACCATTTAAAAAATTTATCTTCAGAAAAATTTTACTTGCATGTGATATTAATGGTACTGCTCCATAAATTCCACTTTTCTTTGGAATGGGCACAAATAAGGATATCTCTGGTCAATTGGCCAGGAAGCTGTCTACAAAATTTCTTAGCCTAGACTAGTGAGTGCTTCCAGAGCTTCATCAGCTTGTTGAAACATTCCCATTAGTATCCCCTCAGTTCCTGGCGCCTTGTTTTTTGGCTCATGCTTTCAGTGCAGCTTGGACTTCTTCCTTCAGTACCATTGGTTCTCGCTCATGTGCTCCCTCTTGAAATGGCTAGATGTTGAACATTTACTCTTTTGGGGACAGTGACACTGTGTATTCCTTCTATCATCTTTTGAGGCTTCCTGTACTGTTCAATATTTTGCCCATAGAATCTTTCAATATTTAAATCGAGGCTTGAATTTTTCCTGCACTTCTTTCACCTTGAGATATGCTGACAGGGTTCTTTCATGCTTTTTAAAAATCATTTTATCGGGGGCTTGTAAAATTCTTATCACAATCCATCCATCCATCCACTGTGTCAAGCACATGTGTACATTTGTTGCCATCATCATTCTCAAAACATTTGCCTTCTACTTGAGCCCTTAATAGCAGCTCCTTGTTTTTCCCCCTCCCTCCCCCATGCTGGTTTTTAACTTTAGGTCTTTGTACATTTCACTATGATACTTTAATTTCTCTTCTGCCCTTTATGTTTTTCTGTTCAAGTAAAAGTACTTCCATTTCTTTCTTTTAGCTACTCTGCGTTCAAGATGAGTTCCAGAGTGTTTCCAGCATGCACGTGGGTGATTTCTGTCCTGTTTTTTAATCACCCTTTGCATCCTTCGTGTAGGATATGCTTGACATCATCCTGCAGCTCGTCCAAGGCAGAGATAGGAAAACAGGGTTAAAATAAATTGTATGTTCATGAAGCAACTGACCCATAATAAGTCAGTTCAAGGTATTTTTGTTCCTTTTTTAAAAAAAATCATTTTATTAGGGGCTCATACAACTCTTATCACAATCCATACATACATCAATTGTGTAAAGCGCATTTGTACATTCATTGCCCTCATCATTCTCAAAACATTTCCTCTCCACTTAAACCCCCGGCATTAGGTCCTCATTTTTCCCCCTCCCTCCCAGCTCCCCCATCCCTCATGAAACCTTGATGATTTAGAAATTGTTATTTTGTCATATCTTTCCCTGTCCAACATCTCCCTTCACCCACTTTTCGGTTGTCCATTCCCCAGGGAGGAGGTCACATATAGTTCCTTGTGATCGGTTCCCTCTTTCCTACCCACTCTCCCTCTACCCTCCCTGTATCGCCACTCACACCACTGGTACTATAGGGATCATCTGCTCTGGATTCCCTGTATTTCCAGTTCCTATCTGTACCAGTGTACATCATCTGGTCTAGCCAGATTTGTAAGGTAGAATTGGCATCATGATAGTGTGGGGGAGGAAACATTTAGGAACTAGAGGAAAGTTGTATTTCTCATCGTTGTTACATCACACCCTGACTGGCTCGTGGTATTTTTGTTCTTACCACCAGCCCCCCTGCCCATTGGGAAGAGCATCAGGGGAGTATACTCTAGGTAGAAACAAAATGGAACCACTCCTGAAGTTGTATCCTTAATCTTTGTCTCATCACAAATAAATTGTTCCCAAACACTTTTCTCAGATCCTTATCCCTAATCCTCCCTATCTTCGGAGCATCCTATCTTGAGTTCCTTGGCCAAGATCTACCTAAGCAGTTACGTTTTTTTTTTCTTCTTTAATGACATTTTCATTAATTCGTTTATCAAAAACTTACTGGGTGCCTAGCACTCTTATAGGTGCTGAGATTGTAGAATGAATTCTGGCTCTCATGGAGCTTGCATTCTAGTGATCAGAGGAAAACACTGTGCTTACTGAGGACAAACTCCCATAATCTGAAGAATGCTGTCACAAATGTCTTTACAACATTTAAATGACTGCGAAGTGGAGACCGAGAAGAAGGGCTGAGAGGAAAGGGGAGAAATGTAGGAAAATGAGGTTGAAACAATCCAGTCCTTCTGGAGCCCAGAAATGAGCCTGGTTTCATTCAAATGAATGTCCATAATATCACTTATATCATGTCCTAACCAAGAAAGCAAAACTTGGATCTAATTATGAGGAATAACCAGACAAACCCTAAATCAGAAACATGCTAATTTTCGAATGTCATCAAATGTAACAAAAGAAAAAGAAAGGCTGGGGTTTTGTTTTTTTTTTCTGAATTAAGGCGTCTAAAGAAATATAAGAACTAAATTAAATGTTTGATCTTGGGCTCCATCGTGGGGTGAGGAAGGGAAAAGAGAATGTTCATTGAGTTCATTAAAAAGTGGACTGCAACAAGTGGGATGCAGACAATAGCTTAGCTCAGAGTATTGTAGCAATGGAAAGCTTACCCGAAGTAAGAAGGCACCTCTTATTTTTAATCCACATTTTATTGTCTAAAAGTACATGATTATGACATAGTCAACTTACTCCCAAATAATTCAAGAGTTTTTAAATATAGGCAGATAGATTAAAAAAATAGACAGCAAGAGGTAGCTAGAAACAGGGAAGAAATGATAAAACAGATGGAGTACATTGTTAACAATTGGTGAATTTAGGTAAAGGCACACATGTATTCTTTGCACCCTTCTGCAATTGTGTCAAAAAACTTTTTTGCTTTGTGTTTGCATCCAGACATTCATTAGCTAATAAAACAACCCTTCGAGTTAATTCAGTGCATGTGCTTGAATCCCTTCCCTTCTCTGGGCCTGAGTTTTCTATCCCCATTGGTTTCTAAGACTCCTTCAGATTTGGGCAACATATATATCCACAACACTGAAGACGTGCCCAGGCCAGTCTTCGGGAAGAAGACGGCATCTCAGCCTCCCTCAGTGCGCTGGGCCAATAGCCCTGGAGTAGCCCTTCTCCTCTTCTCCCAAAAGACTCTCTCAGACTCGTAGTGAACGCTCATGAAGACCCAGAGTCCAACGGAACAAAACGCTGTCCGGTCCGGTGGCAACCTCACAAGTGGTGTTATGTTTGAGTCACTGTGTGAATCTATCTTGTCGAAGATCTTCTCTTTTTCCCCTGACCCTCTCTCCCAAGCATGTTGTCATATTCCAGGGACTGGTCCCTCCTAAGTCTTAGGACCTAAGAACACGTCCAAAGTGAGTGAGATTATTAAGTCTTGCTATCGTCGCTTCTAAGGGCCATTCTGGCTGTGCTTCTTCCAAGACTGATTTGTCTGTACTTCAGGCAATGCACGGGACTTTATTTTTTGGTTTGTTTTGTTATTTATATATATATATATTTATTTATATATTTTTAAATAATTTTATTGGGTGCTCGTACAACTCTTATCACAATCCATCCACCCATCCATTGTGTCAAGCACATTTGTACATTTGTTGCCATCATCATTCTCAAAATGCACGGTACTTTCAACATTCTCTATCATAAATCAAACCCATCAGGACAGGCACGTGCATTGAGCCGTCCAGGAACTACAATCCCCAAGAGGCTTTGCAGTAACCTCTCTGCGGTTCCCGCCAAAGAGAAAACGTCTTTCTGAGCCGGCCATTTGCTGCATGACCTTGTGGGAATCGTAGTCCTCCATCGAAGAGCCGAGGAACCAGGGCAAGACTGTAAAACTACCCTTCCCAGAACTCACCGCGGTCGTATCCACCAATCGGAGGCACGGATATTGGAAAGAGGGCGGAGGAAGAGGAGCAGCAGCTGAGTGCATGCGCAGTGTGAGTGGCTGGGGAATTCATGTGGAGGTCACAGTGAAAGCAGGTGAGATCGGTGGGAGGTTGGTCAGACCCGTGACTGGGAGTCTGCAAATTCTCCTCGTTCCACAAACGCACTTCGGGCGAGCCGGGTGCGTGCGTGGGTCCGCTTCTCCGGGGAAGCGAAAACGGGAGGGTCCGGGATGACCCGAGGGTGGCAAAGAGTGAGAGGGAGGCTTGTATGGGGGCAGGGTAAGGAAGCATCCAGAAGCTATTAGAAATGGAAATGCTGAAAGGTAAGAACTTGAAGCCCTGGGCTTCGGAAAGGGAATTTTAATGCACGGAAAGAGCTCAAATTCGTCTCAAGAGCTGAACTTTAAGAAGGAAGGAAGATTTGAGACTTGGGGGACGGCGACGTTGGACGGGGCATGAAAAAAAATAGAAGAGGAAAACAGTTCAACGGTGGAGTGGGTTTTAGTTAGGCCCACCTAGCCCTGCCCACCCTCCCTCGGCTCCACGCGCTCTTTGCCCCGCAAGGTTGCATGGAACCTTTATCCTCCAATAGCTTCTTGTGTTGTACTGCTTCCAGAGAACCGGCCCTCATCGTTCAGGATGTTGGGGTACAGTGAGGGGGTTAAGGTGGGCCTCCTAGAGTTAGAGGCCCCTGCTGAACTGCTCTGAGCTCTGCGGTTCCTGCGATCATAAGCCCTCTCTGTGCCTCAGTGCCCCCATCCACAACCAGCGACTCCACAGAGCTCAGAGAAACCAACTCGCACCGAAGGCCACCTCGGAGCAACGTGAACTGTGAAGGTTGTCGTTGGGATCAACATAGAGCAGGTTCTTTTAGTTACTTTGCCAAACGAATTGGTTTCAGAGCGCCCGCCTCTCACCTGGGGGTGGCTTGTCCTGGCCGGAAAGAGGTAGTTGAGCCTGCAGCTCAAAGGGCTCCTTGGGATCAGGCTCATGCCTGGGTCAGACTCACTTCACGCTGCTGTTTGGAGCCAAGTGTCGGGAGAGCTTGCTTTCAGTGGAGCCGAGACAGCACTTTCCCAGCGTTCGTTTGCGATCGCGTGCCCCACGGTGGGAGATTCCGAGCTCAGGCGGGTGGGAAAAGAAAGCGGCTGTTGGGCTTCAGAGCGGGCTTACTCTGGGAACTTGGGGGTCATGTTTTGTTTTGTTTTCCCGACTCAGGTGTGAGTGGGCTGCAAGGTGAGATCTAACAGAAGCACACATGGCTGCCAAGGTGTTTGAGTCCATCGGCAAGTTCGGCCTGGCCTTAGCCGTCACGGGAGGTGTGGTGAACTCGGCCCTCTATAACGGTGAGGCACTGAGGGGTGGCAGGCCACCGCTGTTGACTCGAAGGAAGGCTTCTGATGATCTCCCTGTGACACTTTGTGGAAATTGTGTTTGTGGCAAGGGAGCTCACCTGCTGCCACCTCACACTTGGCATCTGCATTGTTATCAGAGCCTAGAGTTTCTCTGGGAGCCTTGATTCCTAAAGCACCGCCCTGCTTGTGGATTTGAAGCGCTGCGGCGCCCCATGTACTTCAGCAGGTGTCAGGACTTGGCACGGTGTCAGGCCTTTTGGGGGTGACCCTGCCCTAAATAAGAGCTTTGGCTCAGCTGAAGGCGGGCCTCGCCTGAGAACTTCTCTTTGGGATGCGTTGGCCATCTTTTCACGGAAGCTTGGGCTGGTTTTTCTTCCACTTTCTGGTGTGACCCTGGGATAAGTCACTTGACCTTTCCATGTCTTGAGTTCTTGGATCAAGCAATGGGAATGAACTCATTTTTTCCCCTAAGACGCTTTCCCACTCCAGCTTTCACTGCTGGCCAGCAGCAGGGCGTCCTGCTTTGTGTGCGGCTAGGTAAGATGAGGGTCGGTTTCAGAGTGGGTTTAGGAGACACCAGCCACAGAGTTCAGAAGCAGAAACGGAAAGCAGCTGATCCGGAAAGCTTGCCGCAATTCTGTGAACCTTTTGGTCACACCTGCATAGCTAGACCATAATTGCCACCCCTGAATTTCCCTGCCAGCAAGGCAGCTCTCTTATCCCTTAAGAGAGCTCTGAGAGGAACAAGTGTTAGGAAGCAGTTTAAAAAAAAAAAATCAACTGCCATTGAGCTCATGGTGTAGAGGCTTGGGTTTCCAAGCCCAGCCTCATCTTTCTCCTGTGAGGCTGCTAGTGAATTTGAACCACTGACCCTGCGGTTAGCAGCTCAACATGTAACCCACGACACCACCAGGACTCCCACCATCAGGCTGCCCATGCTGCGGTCCTGGGTTCCATTGGGGACAGGACTGAGCGTTGTCACTGTGACATCTCGGGGAGATTCTGAGAAGTTGGAAGGTGATTCCTGCACATTAGTGGGTGGTGATTTGGGGGAAGGGACTGTCCAGACAACCAGCAGCAGTTCTTGCAAAGAGAAAGGACTCGGAGGAGCAGGTCTTGCCAAAGCGCTTTCAGGACCGGAAGTGATGGCTTGGTTTTATAGCCACGAGAAGCTTTTAGAGACCAGAGCTCAGGAAGACAGCAGGAGAAGGAAGCATAAGTGCTCGAGTAAGCACCTGGGCACCTTCAAGAGTGCGATCCTCTCGTTAAAGAGGAGCTTTTCTGACCTGTCGTCCTTCCTCTCCGTCTAGTGGATGCGGGGCACAGAGCTGTCATCTTTGACCGGTTCCGTGGCGTCCAGGACATCGTGGTAGGGGAAGGGACTCACTTTCTCATCCCTTGGGTACAGAAACCAATCCTCTTTGACTGCCGCTCTCGACCGCGGAACGTGCCAGTCATCACTGGTAGCAAAGGTGAGTCTTGTCTGGCCTGTGGTGCAAGTGAAGCAGGCAGTGGGGGGCGCGACTATGCTCCTTCCCGAAGCCATTCTAGGCCTCTGGGATCCAGGTGGGAGCGGGCAGGTGGGAGGACAGGCTTCACCCAAGAAAGCTTCTTGGCGTACTTGCCTTGGAGCGTTTCGCCTGGATTCCTAGGCTGGGGTGACACGGATCATCAGACAGGTCCAGAGCTGGCTGGTGGTCTGACTGGAGAGACCGAGTTGTGCGTTTCCCCCTCGTCATTGCCCCTTCCCACCAGAGCGACTGGCTAGCCAGTGTCTAGCGACTGTGTGTCTCTGTAGCTTGTTTTACCCTTTGCTTAGCTTCCGGGGTCCTCTGTGTCCTGGGAGGTAGCCTCGCGCTGGTATCTCCCAGGCTATGGCCACAGCCCTACGAGCAGTCTCCTGGTGTCCCAGGCGTCCCGCAGGGTTTCCTCTCCGAGCTGAAAGTGAGGGGTGTCACCGTTCTCCCCCACCTGCCCCCCGAGGGGCATGCGGGTGGCCTGGCAGGTCTCGGTCAGCAGTGGCACTTCTGCACATGCAGAGGAGAGGTCACGTGGGCCCTGGCTTCTTGTTGGGATGCTCGAGGGCCCTGGCGGGGCTCCTCCGCAGGTATTAGCTAGCTGCCCCGTGTCTGGCGTGGAGCTGGGCCGCAGGGTGGGAGGGGTTCTCAGATGACTGGGGAGCTCAGTCTAGCTGGGGTGGTGGGCAGGCGGACCACCCGTTACAGTGGAGCGGGAGGAGCACTGAGGTCCAGAGCCTCCCTCCGGGGGCGCAGGAAGCTCCTGCCAGGCACTGGTGCTTGAGCTGGGTCTGCAGGAGTGTGAAGTGTGTCCGGAGAAGGAGCAGGGTGGTTGCTGTTCCCAGTCGGTGTGACTGCTGCTGGCCCGGGAGACAGAGGCTGCCACCGCCGCCTCCTGCTTGGCTTGTCTCCCGCAAGAGGGGTAGGAGCCCTAGAGAAAAGAACCATTGTAACTGAAAAGCTTCGCTCTCGTCTCCCTGCCTCTGCCTGTGCTGTGTCATTTTCCCATGGGTACTTTGTGTGCCTACTTCCAGAGTGGGTGCCAGGACCTGCCAGCCATCAGGGCCCTGTAGATGGATACATAGTAGTCAAGGACAGGTTTCCCCAGCTGGCCTGATGACAGGCCCGGGACTCTCTTGGCACATGCGCCCTATTGCTTATGCCCACAAGCAAGCTGTGACAGCATTCTTGTTCCAAGTGGCCTGAACCCTCCGCTTCCTGGGCTGAGGAATGGGAAGCGGGCTGTGGATGAGTCTGATGACCTCTGACAGCGGACAGGACCGGGAAAACAGGAAAGGGTCCGCATTCTCCCAGACGAGGGAAGGGGCCCAGACCAGCCTAGCCAGGCCGCTAACTAACTGTGGTTTCATGGTGCGGCTGCTCCTGGGGTGCTGTTTGAGCTGGCCCTGCTCGCCTCTCCATGGAGCGCTTCTGATTTAGACCCAGAAGACCTTGCTCTGGAGTTCAGGCACCAGCCTGTTGTGGAAAGTTGTACAGGGCTCCACACACCCCAGCCCTCAGACATGCCCCCGGGACTGCCTCCATCGCAGGGCGTGTGTGCGTGTCCCCACCAAAGACTTGGCAGAAGTTCCTAACTTTGCGACCCTGCTGGGCTCTCTACCAGGTGCACCTACGCCGTGCCTACTCGGCTCTTAGGATCAGCGCGTTTACTCTGAGTGCTGATGAGGGCCCGTTTGGCGCAGCAGCAGTCATATACAGGGGGCCCCTCGGTGCCCCTGCTGTGGCTTTGTTTGAAGTCCTGCGCTTGTGCCCTTCCCTAAGATCTACAGAACGTCAACATCACACTGCGCATCCTCTTCCGCCCGGTGGCCAGCCAGCTGCCGCGCATCTACACCAGCATCGGCGAGGACTACGATGAGCGGGTGCTGCCGTCCATCACCACCAGATCCTCAAGTCCGTGGTGGCTCGCTTTGATGTTGGAGAACTAATCACCCAGAGAGAGCTGGTCTCCAGGCAGGTGAGCGACGACCTCACAGAGCGAGCGGCCACCTTTGGGCTCATCCTGGATGACGTGTCCTTGGTAAGAACCGCAGGGGGCCTGTGGGTGGGGGCATGCAGTTCTCAGGGAGGTGCCTGGCTCCCTTTCCAGGAGGTGCTAGAAGGGCTGCCCTGCCTCCTACCTTCCCGGTCTCACTGCCATCGAGGCGGTGCTGACTCCCAGCGACTGGAGGAAGGGTAGAACTGCCCCCGTGGGTTTCTGAGGCCGTCCCTATTTCCTAGAGCAGA